GCCCAGCCCGAGTGACCTCCACCTCATCCCTTGCTCTCACTCTGTTAGGTATTGTGATAAGTTGTTATAGTTCTGTTTTTTTAAAAAAAGAGATAAAGGGGGGGAAAGCACTATAGCATCAGATCACTTCTAACTCCTAGTGACCCCGAGTGTGTCAGAATAGAACTGTGTTCCACAGAGTTTTTATTGGCTGAGGTTTTGAAAGTAGCTCTCAGCAGGCCTTTTTGAGTAGATTCAAATAGCCAGCCTTTCAGAAACAGCTGAGCACAGGAACTGTGTTCACTGTCGGTGGACTTCTGCTATGCCGTGTAGCGGCACTGTACGTTGTCAGTTCCCATGGAGACCCTGTAAGATAGAGAAAAACTTCCTCTGCTGTAATCTTCTTGAGAGCGGATCATCTTCCTGCCTCATGGAGCAATGGCTGGTGGAGTTGAACCACTGACCTTTGGGTTATGAGCAGAGTGCTTAACCATTGTGCTATCACAGCTCATTCTTACCCGTTACCACCTTTAACTGTCAGATCGAGCAAGCTCAGTTCAGAATTGAGGCCCTCTTCCCCTAGAGGTGTGCCTGGCCCACTCTTGTCACCTTGTCCAGGCCCTTTCTTGGGTGTCACCCCCTTTGTGAGGTATTCCCTGACTCCCTAAAGGTGCACTCTCCCATCTTCTCCAGTTGACTTTCGACAGACACTTGATGCCACTTCTGGCATGCCGTCCAGGTTTTCTCTCTCTCTGCTTTTCTCTTCCTGGCTCTCCCTAGATGTCAGTGCCCTGAGGGCAGGGACTTGTGTCTGTTTGGGGATCACTGGTAGTGCTGTGGTTTAAGGCATTCAGCTGCTAACCAGAAAGGTCAGTGGTTTGGATCCAGGAGCTGCCCTGTGGGAAGAAGATGTGAAGTCTGCTTCCATAAAGAGTTTCTGCCTTGGAAACACTGTGGGGCAGTCTCTGTCCTGTGGGGTCAGTGTGAAGTGGCATTGATGCAGTGGCAGTGCAGTTAGCATGGATTTTGTTTGGTTTGATCTCCAGCACCTACAACTGTGCCTAGACTCAAGTCAGTCAGCAAATCAGTGAACATACATTTTTTAAAAATACGTTCTTTGGATGAGGGAGACTCAAGTACTTAAGTTTGACAGTTTGCCTGACATGGTAGTGCTGGGGACTCACTTCACGGCTGTCTACTCTACAGCCAACATGTCCATTGCTGTACCTTTGTGATTTGGTGTCTGAAAGAGCCCGGGAGTGGGGGCTCTTCACCTTAGGACTGGAGTTAAACTTAGTGGCTACCACAGACCCTTTGAGCCTGATAACTCCTTCTAGGATTGGGGAGCCTGAGTCTGTCCCCTTCTCCCCATTCTGAGTCACCAGTAAAGCCAGAGTGTCCTTATTTTTAGTGCTGTTGCTGTTGCGGGGCTGTAACCATTAGCCAGTAAGAGTCTTAAGGGAGGAGATAAACATTAATCTTCTGGGCCTTCCCTTCAGCTGCCACCTCCGCATTGTGAGATGCTGTTCTCTCCGCACCTGCCCAGCAACCAGGCCCGAGGGCTCTGGGATGGAGGGTGGAGAGGTGAAGGGTCAAGGAGAGGGCAGATGGGTCTTTAGCTTTGGGGCTGGCTAGCTGGGAACCTCCATCCCGAATTCAGAGGCTGAGGGATAAACAGTCTGATATTCTCTTGATTGTACCTGGATGAAGCCACCAAGTAAGACTGCCGCCTCAACTGTTTAGTTTCTGAAGGTGGTTCTAGCCCTGAGAGCTCCCAGGCCATGTGGAGTGCGGTTACCTGTGCTTCTCCTGGCTTCATCCTGGGAGGAGCAGGGCTACTCAGGGGTGAACCCAAGGGTGGGAAGAAGGCCTGACCCAGATCTTGGGGCAGCTGGGGTGGATTAGCTGGGCAGCAAAACTAATCTCAGCCTGTCCCCACCTCCTTCCTCTACAAAGCAGAGCTGCCACTGGAGAAAAGTCTGGGACGAAGCCAGGGGTGGTTTTGAAACAATAAATATGAATTATTTCTAATCTATAATGCTTATATTTTCTCAAAGTGGCAGTTTGTCTCAGGTTCCTTGGGCAAGTTACTTAACTTCTCTGGGCCTCAGTTTGTCTGTAAAATGGAGTATCATAGTACCTGCCTTGGAGGATTGTTTTGAGAGTTGCAAAAGGCACGAGAGTGTACACATTAGAGAAATGAGGGTTTCCTCATTAGGATAGAGGCAAGATGGGGAGGAATCTCTTTCATGGGATACAGGAGTCAGCTGGCAGGCAGGGGTGGACCTGGAAGCATCTGCCTGGACCTATGAAAAGTTGAGGTAATTGGCTGCTCCCCCCAGTACCCTAGAGCTGTTCTGGTTTTTCTCTTCTCGGTTATCCAGTCCTAGCATAGTGTTAGGAAGCTCTTTTGGCCTAGTACTAAGAAGTTGTGCTACCAACCCTAGGGTATATAGTTCAAATCCACCGACTGCTCAGTGGGTGAAAGAGTGTTCTCCCATGCTATTTAAAGCCTTTGAAAACCCAATGGAGGGTCAGTTATGGGACGGTTCTGATTTGACAGCAGATAACAAGAAGCAGCATAGTGATAGAGGATTCTTTAAGCTAAAATCTACTAATGGTGTGACCTTAGATGGATGTCTTTCTCTTGTTCAGTTTCTTCATTTGTCTTGTAGGGGGCTGATCAGAGCTTCTACTTAATAGGGTTTCGGTAAGATGTTGTTAGGTGCTGTTGAAGAGTATGACTCACAGCCACCCTCATCATCTCTGATACACTTGAGCCTATTGCTTCAGTTACCATGTCACCCCATCCCCTTGAGGGTCTTCCTCCTTTTCACTGACCCTCCACCTTTCCAAGCATGATATCCCGTTCCAAGGAGTAGCCTCTCCTAGCAATTCTTTATCTCTAAGGAGAACTCTGTCTTCACCTTTTCCAAGACTTAGCTATTTCCTGGCAGCCTATGGGCTATTCAGTGCTCTTCTCCATCACCACAACTCAAAGGCATCAATTCTGTTCTGTCTTTTCATTATCCAGCTCTCAGATGCACAACAAGCAATTGAAAAAAACCACGGCCTGAAACAGGTGCACACTCGTCTTCAAATTGATGTCATTGCTCCTCAGTAATTTGGAGAGGTCCCTGATTTGCTCAGTGTGTATATCTCCTGACTTCCTGACTACTTGTACCAAGGGTACCTAAGATGAGTCTGTAAGGAAGAGACTAATCCATGCCTCCACTTGGCATACAGTAAATGCTCAGTGAATGAGTATTTCTACAGCTGTAACTTAGGAACATAGACTAAGCCCCCATTTGCAGAAGGAACTCTGCAGATGCTACTTAAAAAGTTCCCCCTGAAAAAGTTTGTGACCAAAGTGCTGTAATGTATGTGAGAGATTGGGGTGGGCTAGGGAGGGGATAAGAAAGGGATGCCACAGGGCAGACATTCTGAAGGAGGTAACTTTTGGTGGAATTCCAGCAACTAGTGAATGGGGAGTTAGGGACAGGGTTCTTGGCTCCTTTCATTGAGCAAGCACCCTCTTTTTCCACTTTCTTGAGCTCTGGGAAGAATTAGTCATGCAGTTCCCTTGGCTCTGGTCATTTCACCAATAACTGAACATCCAGAGGTCAGAGCTCCCAGCAGTGGATGGCTGGTAGAATCCAGAGAGAAATAGTGGAAGTTACTCCTTCTGTACAAAGGGCACAATGATAGTATCCACCCCATATGGTAATAATGATGATAAATGAAGTGTGATGTTGGCTGTCAGAGCAAGTCTCAGTCAAGGTAGGGGTTGATGTTGTTATATGCTGTCAAGGCAATTGTGACTGATAGCGACCTTCTGTACAATAGATCTGAGCTTGGCTCTATCCTGTGCCATCCTCACCATCTCCAATATACTTAGTCTGTTATTACAGTCACCGTGTAAATCTATGTCATTGAGGATCTAGCCCTCCACCTTTCCAAGTATGATGTCTCTCTGCAAGGACTAGCTCCTCTTAACAACATACCTATAGTATGTGAGATGAAGTTTCATCATCTTTGCCTCTAAGGATCACCCTGGTTGCACTTTCTCTAGGACGTATCTATTCTTCGGTCAGTCAATGGGATAATCAATCTTATACAGCATCAAAATTCAAAGACATTGATTCTTCTTCTGTTACCCTTAGTCGTCAGGAGCCCAGGTGGTGTACTGCATAAGGTCGGCAGTTCAAATCTACCAGGCACTCCTTGGGAGAAAGATGGACAGTCTCGTCCTATAATGATTTACACCCTAGGAAACCTGATGGAGACATGCTGTAAGTTGATACCAGCTCAACAGCAATGAAGCTGATTTTTCTTTTCTTATTACTTGGAGTCCCTGGGTGGTTCATGTGGTTAATGAACTTGGCCACTCACAGAAAGGTTAGAGATTTGGGGCCACCTAGAGTTGCCATGGACAAAAGACCGGGCCAACAGCTCTTGAAAAACAAATCCTTAACAAATTCTTGGGTGACCGTGAGGGAGAATCAGCTTGAGTTACAGCTGCTGGAGTTTGTTGGTGTGGGGTTTTTTTGTTTTTTATTATCGTCATCAGTATCATCTTCATTGCTGTCATCTTCATCATGCTTCAAGGTTGAGGATTAGTAACATAATCTAGATACAGAGTAAGTGCTCAATAAATAGTGACTATTGGTGTTTCTAACGTGCACAAGATACTGGAGATTACACAAGTGGAAGTTCTATGGTCGTGAAGGAACAGGCAAACTCTGAGGTGGAGACCCAGAGTCAGATCTCGGAAGGAACAGGCGAGCTCTGAGGTGAAGGCCCGGAGTCAGATCTTGGCTCAGCACACATTGGCTCCAGTGCTCACACTCTAGAAGCACCTGGAAAAGTCGATCTTAATACCTACCTTGCAGGATTACAACGACACTGATTTGGCAATACGTAAAAGTTCATCATTGGTACCTAAGGATTGAACAGGCAGGTGACCACAAACAGAATAAATAGTTGATGGCTTTTGCTTTTTTTTTCTCTTCTGCTTTTAGATCACCAGAAACTAGAACGTGAAGCTCGAATATGCCGACTTTTGAAGCATCCAAATATTGGTAAGTGTTCCTGCACAGTTCCTTGGACATGGTATAGGAGATGGGAGACCAGAAGTCTGCTGGAGTCCTTTTGTCCAGGAGTCTTTACCTGGTGTCTGTCTGTTGGAATTTTGTGGGGTTTTCGGCCTGAGCAGGATTGCAACTACAGGGCATGCTAGTGGAGAGACTTGCCTGTCCTCATCCCTCGGTGCCCTCTGAGGGCCAGAGTGTGAAGTGTTGGAACAGGTCTCCTCCTTCCCCCTCCTTGTTTGGACTGAGGACCAGGGTCTGCATCATGTGAAGCTTTGGGCTAGGAGCCTGCCAGCTCCCTCACCAGGGGCCGTCTGTGGCCATCAGGAAAAGCACAGGATTTTGTTTCTGGACTTGAAAGAGTTTTGTTCCTGCCGCAGTGCTGCGCGCACTCTGGGGTTTCCATGGCGCTCCTGTTTGTCCTCCCCAGAGCCAGGGAAGCCAGCTGCCCACCCGCCTGGCTTCTCTGCAGAGGGTGGCAGAGCCGCTCAGATGGGGAAGGAGAAACATAGAGAGGATTTCTCCCCGCTCCCACCCTCACTGGGGGACAAGAGCACATTGTTCGTTGTTCTCAGGCCTGAGGAGGTTTGCCTGCCACAACCCACTCCTGCTCAGTTTTACATTGTTCAGCTAAAATGGTCTTTGGCAAAATACTTGGCCCGATTTCGTGCTCCTTGCAGAAGGGACAGGAACTAGGCTGGCTGCAGTGCCTGAGCAGAAGCCCGTCTTGACTTGAGGCAGAGCGGGCCGCATCTCCTCGGACTGCCCTGAAAGGCCTGAGTCATCACAAAGGCCAGCACGTGCTCCCTGCTCCTTAGGCATGGCCTACATACCGGGGCTCCCATGGTGGCCCGAGACCGGTCGCCCTGACTGCTTGGTGGCAGAGACTGAGAGGCAGCTTGCTGAAGCTTCGTGCTTCCTGCAAAATTACAGCCTCTGGCTTCCCAGGGTCAGGTTGGAACACTGACCCTGAGGTCTCTTGTGTAGAGGACTCGAGGTCAGACTCAAGCCCAAGTGAAGAGGAACAGCCTCTAGGTAACCAGAACTCAAAACCATGCAGGGCTTTGTAGATCAAAATCAGCAGCTTGGATTTCACCTGAAGCAGATTGGTGAGCCAGGGCTCAAAGCACTACCCCTTCCAACCTCCGGGGCCAGGTCACAGGGCTCCTGGCACTCCTGGCTGCTGTCTGAGGGCAGACCCTCACTTCATCATGATAGGAACAAGCCTGTGGGCATGGCTCAGCAGAGAACAGTGTCATGGAGTTGATGCTGACCCATGAAAAAACCCACATAGAAGCTGCTCTGTAGGCTTTCTTGGCCGCAGTCTTTGAGGAAGCAGGTTGCAGTGTTTTTCTTTCATGGCACCTTGGGAGCAGGGGGTTCAAACAACCAACCTATAAAGTTAGAAGTCAAGAGTAAACCACCTATGCAGAAGTCACAAATCCAGGCATGTTTGATTTGGCTGACTCTCTGGTCTAAAATTATTATTTGCCAGTATTTAAAAACAAGGAATTTGCACATTTGAAAAAATTATTAAAAAAAAAAAATATTTCCTAACCCTTAAGGTCAGAAGCTCAGGCTCCACAGAGCCCATGTCCATGGGCGGGAAGGGAAATCCAGGCACTTGCTGCCCCCTTTGGCTGCTGTTGTCCTTGCCACGCCCTGTTTTCTCTTGGTGGCATTACCTACTGGCCCTACAGGCTTTGTGAGTTTATGACCTCTGACCTAGCAATCCCAGAACTGGAAGAAAAAGTGAGTGCATGCATCTAGCCACACACAGACCCACTTGGTGTCCAGTGCTGGATCTTGGGGTCTGAGCATGGTGACTTCCTTTCATTTTTGCTGCTTTTGATCGGCTTCCTTAGCAGTGATGGCATCCTGCATCGAGAGTAGAACAGGACAGGTGATGTAGGAGACAGCCACATCCATGTTGCCTTAGATGCTCCTGACTATGGCAGGCTCAGGGGGTCATAAAGGCACTGAGAAGCAGGAACAACAGAAATGACAGTTTAAGTGGGAAAAAAAGTCCCATCCTTATTTTTATGTATTTCCAGAAATTACATTTATACTTTTGGACCTTTTAGACTTTATTTGGTTTGGTTCAGTAAAATCGTTTTGCCAGTCAAGTTAAATGAATTGTGATGTGTGGTGACCCCATGTCAGACGTAGAACTCTGCCCCCCCAAGGTTATCAGTGGCTTCCCCCGCTCCCTCCCAGAAATAGATTAGCAGACCTTTCTTCTAAGGTGCCTCATGGTGAACTTAAACATCAAACCTTGTAGTTAGCAGGCAGACTGTTAACCATTTGCCCCATTTTGGGTTGGGCCGTCATCCTTTTACTCCCCCCAGCTTGGAGGGAAGGCATACCGAAGGCTGTTAGAGACCAGCGATCATCAGCCTCCTGTGCCATCTGAGGGCTGGAGCGCCAGAACCCGTTTCAGCTGAACAGGAGGCCCGGCTGTGTGAGTGTCCTGCTGTGTTAGGAAGGTGTCAGGATCTGATGTTTGGGAACTAAGCTGCCTCTCAGCATGCTCCCAGACCCTGAGGGATGCTGGTCTGGGGCCCTGCCCCAGGGTTAAGGGCAGGGAGAAAGAGGGGTATGGATCATGACCTGGCTTGTGGCGGAAAAGATCTCTCTCTCTCTCTTCTTGGGCTGCTCCGTCTTAGAGCGGTGGCCCTTTTGGCTCCATTCTCTTTAACTCCTTGCTGCAGGGATATGAGTAAAGCAGACTGAGACCTTGAGGAAGCTGAGAGGAGAGAGAGCCCAGTCAACCTCTGGTTGCTATCAGTGTCAGAGGTGCTTGAACTTAAACGGGCCATTTATCTGACTTACCACACACAGCCTGTTGGTGGTGCAGTTAGCATGTGTGGCTGTAAATGGAAAGGATGGGAGTTTGAGTCCACCCCAGAGGCACCTTTGAAGAAAGGCCTGACAATCTGTTTGGGGGGAATTGCCTTTGAAAAGCCCTTGCTGCACAGGTTTTCTCTGAGTCACCATGAATTGAAGTTTATTTGGTGACAGCTGGTCATTTGGTGCAAGGGAAGAGGGGAGGCATCCCCAATTTCCTGCCTAAGAGTCTGTACCAGGAATGAGAAGCCTGTTGGTTACAAGGCTGCTGAACTTAAAAAGGCTCTGGGAGAGGAGCCAGGGGCGGTGAGCGGAGGGGAGGAGCTGCCGGGCTGCTGGGAGTCTGAAGTCTGAGTGGAGTGTGTTCTACCTGTGATCTGCCTGCTCCCGGCTAGGAGTGTTTCTAATGAATAGTCTCTGTCTTCCTTCGTGCTGAGCGGGGCCCCGGCGCTTTCCCACACTGTCTAGAATGGAGGTTAAAAGCAGCTCTCCTCCTGCTTTAATGTGCTTTTGAACCACCTAGGGGGTCATGTTAAAATTCCAATTCGGCAGGTCTGGCATGAGATCTGGGCTTCTCCGTGTCCAACAGGTGATGCTGATGGTGCTACTGATCCCTGTAGTCAAGGCTTGGGTGTCCATCCATCCACCCAGCTGTGGCTGGGATTGATTTATTAGTTGCCATGATCTCTGGGCAGTTATTTAGCCTGCCTGTACCTCCACCTCCTCAACAGTGACCCCTTCCTGGAGTGTTGTGAGAGGATCCCACAAATGAAGGTGATCTAGGAGATGGAGATTCAACTCTGGTGATCTCCTCTAGACCTCTTATTCCAGTGTCTCAAGGTTCTCTAGTCAGGCCACCATCTGCCCTGAATCCAGGGCCCATTAAGCTAATAGCTAATATGCTTGGCTACTAACCACAATGTTGGATGTTTAAGTCCTTCCAAGGGTGCCTGGGAAGTAAGGCCTGGCAGTCAGCTTCCAGGAAAACAACACCTGTGGCACCCAGTTCTACTCCTACCAACCCATGAGGAAGAGTAGCACGCTTGGGGTCCCCCATGAGTCAGTCTTCTCAGTAGCAACTGTTTGTTTTCTATTTTTAATGTAACAGAATCAGTTGCAGATAAAAAGAAGGAAACAATGAATCATAACTGCAGCTCCTCAATTGTATCCTTATTCTCCCACCAGCTGGCCCTGGCCTGGCCCTGGTGGTGGGACCATCTTACCACTGTCTTTTTGAGGCAGGTCCTTCCCCTTTTTTTTTAATGAGCCAAATATTTCCGTTTATTTCTTTCTTTGTGATTTGAGTGAAAGTTTACAAGCAGATTAATTTTTCATTCAATCTTTCATAAATATTTTGTTCTAGAACATTCATTTCAGTGTTGTTAGGAGCCATCGAGTTGAGTACAACTCCTAGGCACCCTCTAAACACCACCTCTGGACCCTGTCCTATCCTATTACATCCTTGTCCTCTCTGACATACTTGAGTCCAGGTCTGCAGTTACTGTGTCGGTCCATCTGGTTAGGGATTTTTCTCTTTTGCTAATCCTTAAATTAATTTTCATTAAATAATAAGTTGAATTAATTTCAGTGCCCACCATGTAATCACACTTTTCCACCTATTTTCCCCCTGTAATTCTCATTTCCATTAATTCTTCTATACCTCTCTGGGTCTTCTCTTTTCTTTTAATGATATGGTACCAATCATTCCTGTAATAGATATTGCCTTGCCCTTCATCCATCTTAATATGGGTCTCCTATCTATCTATCTATCTATCTATCTATTTATTCATTCATTCATTCATTCGAGAGCTCTGATGGCCAAATGGTAAGGAGCTATACTGCCAACCCAAAGGCACATGGTTCAAATCCACCAGCTGCTCTCTGGCAGAAGATGGGGAGTCTCCTCTTGGGCAATTTATTGCTCCTAAAAAAACCCACTGGAGGGTCTGCTGTGACTTGGTTCTGACTTGACAGTACACAACACACAAAGAATTTTTTTACTAATTTTTACTCCCGATCCTCTCCTTTCTCATCCATGGTAGCCCTGCGAATCTGTGTGTAAACCTTACCTTAGCCTTTTATCATAGTCTTCATACACCTCTTGTCCTTTTGTGACTGACTTTTCTTTTTGCATACTGTCCTGT